GGTTACAGCCGTCATTGTTGTTTGGCAGGCCCAGGCTGGATTTGAACCCGCCAGCTCAGGTGTATGTGGCTACCACCTTATCTGCTTGAGCCACAGGTGCTGAGCCCCTTTTTGCTTTTTGTTGTTTCCCTGGACCTGTGTTCTCTGATGAGAAAGAGCACTGATTTTTGATAGTGTGTATTAAAGTGCTTGTATGGATGTATATCACATCTGCAAACCTATTTTTTGATAAGGGAAAAAAGGTGTAAATAATCTTATACACCTTACAGGATTATTTGAAAAATCAAGTGAAATACATGCAAGTACTTAACAGCCCTCTAATTTTTTTTTTTTCCTGAGGCAGAGTCTTATTTTGTAGCCCTCAGTAAAGTGCTGGGATGTCATAGCTCACTGCAACCTCAAATTCTTGGGCTAAAGTGATCCTCTTGCCTCAGCCTACTGAGTAACTGGGACTACAGGCACCTGCCACAATGCCCAACTAGTTTTTTATATTTTTAGTAGAGATGGGGTCTTACTCTTACTCAGGCAACTCCTGCCTCAGCCTGCCAGGGTTGCTAGGATTCTATGTATGAGCTGCCAATCTTGGCCAGGAAAAACTTAATATCTTGGGTCATGGAAAGAACCAAGACTATCTGTGAAATAAGATTAATTTTTATCATCTTTGGTAGAAAAACGGAATAGTTTTCTTTTCTACAATTTCTTAATAATTTTTGTGAGAAAAAATGTATTTTAATGGATAAGACTGATTTTGTTTTTCAGTTAAGTGTGAAAATGAGTAACTTATTTTCCATGTAGGTGATTTTGTCACTGAGTTTTTTAAAATCTGCCGTCGAAAGGAGTCAACTGATGAGATTCTTGGACGATCCACATTTGAGGAAGAAGGAAGAGGTAAACTGCTTTTTAAAAAAAATCACTTTCAAAGGCCTTATCATTTTTCTTTAGCATGTTTTCCAGCAACTTTTCATCTATTTTCCCATTTTGAATTAAATTGGAGAAACGAGTTTTGATGGATTAGACAGCTGCCATACTTTTCTAAAGTTATACTTGTTAAGATATTAAGTGCATTTAATAAGTTCTTTCCACCAAAAATGTAAGATATTTTGAAGACATTTAGAGATTTATTTTTGAAGTGAAGAAATAATTTATGTGACTCCTTTGTCATTCATGCTTATATATACGTATATACTATATACTGTATACTTATATATACATATATACTAAACATCTATACTAAAATTGAATAATTGTGAGACCATGTAACACTAGTGAAAGGAATGAGTAAAGTATTTCACACAATCGTCAACTTACTCATCACTTTAACTTGCTAAGGTTGGTGATATAATATGTATTCATTTCTATTCTTTTTATAGAAATTGCTGATATAACTCATGCTTTGTCAAAGTTGACAGAGCCAGCTCCAGTTCCAATTCATAAATTATCAGTATCAAATATGGTACACACTGCAAAGAAGAAAATACGAAAACACAGAGGTGTAGAAGAGTCACCACTGAATAATGATGTCCTCAATACTATTCTACTGGTAATTAAGTGTTCCATCTTTATAGGTCTATATGCATACTCACTTATTCATTTTATATTTAGTCCCTTCTATGTAAGCGGCAGGCACTCAGTTGGGAATATAGAATGTGTAAAACAAAGTCTCCACATTCAGAGAACACCTACTACTATGTTTCCCCCAAAATAAGACCTACCCAAAAAATAAACCCTAGCAGGATTTCTATTTATTTGTTAAATATAAGCTCTACCCCAGTAATAAGACCTAGTGATGGGCGTGGCTATGCAGTGTATCTGCATAACCATGCCATGCATTCCGGAGCAGAGCAGTAAGGAAGACTGGAATACCGTTTATCTATCACAGCTCCTTTCTCTGAGCCGTTCGCACTTGGGCGAGTGGGTGTGTGGTAACCATGGTTGCAAGCGTCCTATTGCGCACGTGTGAACGGCTAGGGGAAAGGAGTTCATGCATCACTAGCGCTAGCCCACCAACAAGGTCGGCTCCCCCTGTCAGGTTCCAGAAGATGATGACTTAACTGTATTTGAATAAATGTAGACTATTGTATTATACTTAATAAAAATAAGACATCCACTGAAAATAAGCCCTAGCGTATCTTCTTGAGAAAAAATAAATAAAAGACAGTGTCTTATTTTCAGGGAAACATGGTAGTATAGTGGGAAGAAGAGAAATAACCAATAGTTAAAATGCCCTGTCACATGTGAGAAGTCTGGCAAAGGGACTGTGAGAATACAGCAGAGGGTGTAGCTGTCTCTGTCTGGGTAGTGGACATCAAGGAGGCCTTCCTTAAAGAAGGACACTTGAGCTGAATTTTAAAGAAAAGGCTTTAGAAGCAGAGGCCTCAGAGCCCATTGAGCAGTTGGTATTTTGTAGGGTACTTCCAAGGAGTGAGCAAGTTTAAGGCTACAGAGGTAACAGGTAACCTGCCATCCTGAAGTGCTGGATTTTATCTTGCAGATGAATGTGATCAGGATTGTATTTTTGAAAGATCACTTTGACAATAGTATGGACCAGTGTTTTTCGACCTTTTTTATCACACGGCGCACTTGAACCTAGTTAAACATCCATGGCACATTTAAATTATGTTGATCACAAAAAAAGTTTTTAAAAAGTATACTTACTGTGCTTTGAACTTCTTTCAAATAATTTAATTAATGTTCTTTAAAATTTTTCGTGGCACCCCTAAGATCCTCTCATGGCACAGCACTGTGCTAGGGCACACCGGTTGAAAATCACTGGTTGGGACTCAAGTCTAGTTGAGGATGAGAGGAGTATAGAGTAGAGGGCTAGGGCGGCTCCTAGGTGTAATGTGGTGGAATGGTCCAGTGTAGGAGCTACCACACCACAGTTTAAGCCATGTGTAACTTAACTGCATGACTTTGAACTAGTCACTTCAGTATTTTCATCTATAAAATGAGGCTAACAAAACCTTGTGAAATTATTGTAAGGATTAAAAGACTTTCTATGACACTACCTGGTATATAATAGGCCTTTGATAAGTGACAGCTGTTCTTACTGGAATTATAGCTATAATCATACTCCTGGAAATTGTGCATAAGACAGTCTGGGGGGAATCCTTTAAAAATAATGTAATGAAGAGAATATTAGAGGCCGGGCATGGTGGCTCACACCTGTAATCCTAGTACTTGGGAGGCCAAAGTGGGTGGATTGCCTGAGCTCATGGGTTCAAGAGCAGCCTGAGCCAGAGCAAGACCTTGTCTCTAAAAATAGCTGTGCATTGTGGTGGGCGCCTATAGGCCCAGCTACTCAAGAGGCTGAGGCAAGAGAATGACTTGAGCCCAAGAGTTTGAGGTTGCTGTAAGCTATGATGTCACAGCACTCTACCGAGGACGACAAAATGAGACTGTCTCAAAAAAAAAAAAGAAAATACTGGACTTGGAAACTGGATGTTAATCTCATATCTGCCATTTATTTGAACAGGACCCTTAGCCATATTTTTAGCTTGTAGATCATAAGATGTTGGCAGTGATATTTAGCTTACACATTAGCATGAGAATACGACAGTATTTGTTAATGTGCCTAGTACTGGCATCTGGCATATAGTACGTCCTTTAATTTTAAAAAAGATGTTGAAAATGTTCTGTATAGCAAAAGTATAAGAGGAACTTTGAGTCAGTAGTACCACAAAACAGTTAGGATGGTCAGCTTTAATAAAACAACTAAAAATAAATTTTATAGAGAAGGCTTCTTCTTAGAAATGTGTCCTTAGAGATTATATTCAAATTATGTAGCTCAGTTGTCATTTACACTGAATTTTGGGGGAACAGATACATTAATTTATGTGCTTCCCACTTTCTAGGAACATCTCACAAAATAAGTTGAGTCTTGAGTACCTTTAATAATCCATGTATGAAAACCTATGAGTGGTATCTCTTCAGATCCTTATGAGCGAGTGGGTGTTTTTAAATTGCCTTTTATAGTTTTCTCTTTTAATGGTATTAACACTTTCAAATAGGTAATAGCCTTGCATGAGCTTGAAATCAAAATGAAGAGATTTTATTTTTATGCTATTTGACATACAGAATCAGGTAGTTATTTTTAAGAAAAATGCCTGATTTCTAAAATTGGCTAATCACTGAAATATTGTGTATTTTCGGAGAAAAACAGAAAAAATTGAGAAAGTATAGAACTAGCTGAGCAGTACAGTATGAACATTACTATTGTTTTAGAAACAAAATCATTAATAAGTTAAATAGTGCTACATGAGTTGTAAAAATCAACAGTATGGAAATGGGGTCTAAAATGTGATTATTTTCGTTCTTCTCTCTAAGTTCTTATTCCCTGATGCTGCTTCTGAGAAACCATTAGATGAAACTACTTCAGTAGACAATAATCCTCCATCAGAGAGTGAAGACTATGTAAGTTGACTTGGAGTTCAATATTATAACATTTTAAATGCATTAAATTCCCAGGGGCTTGCTATATTTCTAGTTCAATAGCTTAAGTATCTTTTTGTTTTGAATTCCCCTTTGGAATATTAAATGAAGATCATGGCCACCACTCAGATAATGACCTATTACAGAACATTGGTGTAAACAGATTTTTTTTTTTTTTTTTTTTTGGAGACAGAGTCTCACTTTGTTGCCCTCAGTAGAGTGCAACTTCAAACTCTTGGGCTTAGGCAATTCTGTTGCTCTTAGCCTCCTGAGTAGCTTGGGACTACAGGCGCCAGCCATAAGCCCGGGTATTGTTTTTAGAGAGAAGGTCTCGCTCCAGCTCAGGCTTGTCTGGAACTTGTGAGCTCAGGCAATCCACCCACTCCCAGGGTGCTAGGATTATAGACATGAGCACCGGGCCTGTAGATAGATATTTTGAGTAGCAAGAATTTTTTTAGAAACAATGAAAAACAAAATAGCATAAATACACTGTGTATAGCTGTAGGATTTCCCTCATTTTAGAGTTTTTGTGGTATCATTAAATTTACGTTTTACAACAAATTTAAATTAGATTTTGAGTGGAAAACCATTTAATGAAGTAATATTTTTATGTTCTCCTTGTATAATCTTTGAGAAATTAAGAAGAAATTTTAAGTGAGAGGTATAGAAATACCTCTATTTACAGAGGTATTTACAGTAGTTACTATTGAGAACTAGATTGCATGAAATGAAGTAAAACACAGACTTTTGCATTTTCAGTTAATACACTTCTGATTTTTTTTTGTCAAGTATATACTCATTTTGTAATTAAAATATGTTTAAAACAGCATACAATGCATAAAAGTAGGAATATATCTTAAATATTCCACAGAAGAAGTCGAAAGCTGTAACTTTAGCCTCATTAAACTATAGCTTCATTTTAGTAGAAATCTTAAAAACATGGAACTACCTAAGAATAATTTATGCAGTAGTGTATTAGACATTTGCTAAAAGCTAGTTTTTGTAGGATAGGTTCCTTTTAGTATTAAAACTTCTCCCTGTATACTTTTTGATCAGAGGTGTAATATATGTTGCTAACAAGTTTTTCTTTGTTTCTGTTTTGTTAAATTTAGAATCTCTACAATCAATTTAAATCTGCACCTTCTGACAGTTTAACATACAAATTGGCTTTGTGTCTTTGTATGATCAATTTCTACCATGGAGGATTGAAAGGAGTGGCACACCTCTGGCAGGAATTTGTTCTTGAAATGCGTTTCAGATGGGAAAACAACTTTCTGATTCCAGGGTAATAATTTTAATTCTTAGTTTTTTAGATAGGATTTTTGTTAAGCAGACATTTGACTTTTGACCCATTAACTGTCCCCTTACAGGAACTCTGCTGTTAGAAAGTGGTAGATAACTTGGGATTTATGTTTAGAGGTGGCAAAGTATAAGAGTAAATAAACCTAAATATTAAACAGAAACCTAAATACTAAACAGAATACTTAAATAAATTATCTGTATCATGGAAAATTATGGATCTATTACAAATTTTTTTCCAAAAGTCTTTAATAACAAAATGTTCATAATGTTTATAATAAAGTATATGTAGTGATGTGTATTCAGAGTGCTTTTCATTACTCTTCTACATATGTATAGAGAAAAGGTTGGAAAGAAATACAACCAAATGCTAACAGAGTTTTCTTGGGTATGAAATTATATTTTTCTTCTATTCTTTATACTTTTATATATTTCTAAGTCTTCTATATAATAAACACATTTTGTAAATTGAAAGAAAACATCTTTGAAGTTCATCATAACTTCTTCTATTGAACATTATCTGTAATTTTTTGTATCATTTACATTGACATTTCATATAATCACAAAGATTTTAGTTAGTGTGTATGTTAATGTTACAGAGTTTATTACTCACTTCTCATGCTAAGATAAGAGGTTCATGACTATGAGTAATATAAAGTGGTGATTCATGTAAAACCATTCCGCCTGGCTCAGCACCTGTAGTTCAAGCGGCTAAGGCGCCAGCCACATACATGGGAGCTGGCAGGTTCAAATCCAGCCCGGGCTCTCCAAACAACAATGACAACTATAACCAAAAATACCCGGGTGTTGTAGTGGGCTCCTCTGGTCCCAGCTATGTGGGAGTCTGAGGCAAGAGAATCACTTCAGCCCAAGAGTTTGAGGTTGCTGTGAGCAGTGACACCCCAGCACTCTACCCAGGGCAACAGCTTGAGACGCTGTCTCAAAAAAATAAATAAATAAATAAAACCATTCCCCATTGTATCATTTGCCAGTCTCTGCTTAGTTGGATTTTCTCTTGGTTCATATCAGTTTGTTATGGAACTTATTACAGATCCAAAAGCATGTTGAATATGACAGAGTACCTTGGGCTGATTGCCTTAGAATTAGAATCAGTCTGGGGCGCCATTGAAATAGAGGTGGAGATCTTAGCTTTTATAGGGAGAATCCACTATCATAATTTAGAACCGAATATTATAGACTGATTTATTTTGTATAGTGTGAAATACTATATGCAAGCTACTTCCTGGGAGTGGATTTAGAGACTTTTTCTCATTTTACATCTCTGTTAGCCTAAAAGCTATTACTAATTTACTATCATATTGTGGGTTTGTTTGTTCATTTGTTTTAATAGACAGGTTCTTCTCTATTGCCCAGACTGAAGTGCAGTGGCACAAGCATAGTTCACTGCAGTTTCACATGCTTGGGCTCAGGTGATCCTCCTGCCTCAGCCTCTGCTCTTGTGTAGCTACGAGTTGCATGTCACCGATGCCTGGCTAATTTTTTTTATTTTTTATTTTGTGTAGAGACGAGGTCTTGCTATGTTACCCAGGCTGGTCTCAAGCAACTCCTAGCCTCAAGCAGTCGTCTTCTCCCAAAGTGCTGGGATTGCAGGCATGAGCCACCATGCAATTATGTTTTGAAGTATCTTATTATATTTGCTGTTGGTAATTTGTGGTCTATGTGTATGAAATAAATTTCCATCTTTTAATCATATGTGTTGCCCCTCTAGCACTCAGTTACCTTGATTTTTTATCAATATATCTAAACATTATGATAGTATAAAAATAATCATATCTGAAGCAATTTTATTAAAACTAAGCTTTCTTTTCTCTTTATTTGATAGATTAGCAAATGGACCGCCAGACCTAAGGTGTTGTTTATTACATCAGAAGCTACAGGTAAAGATTTCCCAACGACATACGTGGGTATACATATAGCCTTGACTTAATAAGAGCTATTTTAATGCTAAATGTAATAATGGATTATAGGCTATTCTCATCCTCCTGCTGTAGGTTGCTTATAATCACTGAGTTACAACAAGGTCCTGAGAAGTATGAAAATTAAATATTCAAACAGTGGGCAGATCTTTATTTTTCTGTAACTAATTCACCTGTAAATGTTATTTCTGTTTTCTTTAAGATGTTGAATTGCTGTATTGAAAGAAAGAAGGCACGTGATGAGGGGAGAAAGCCAAGTACTTCAGATACTGTCGCTAATACGTACCCAGGAGATGCTGGAAAAGCTGGAGACCAGGTGGGGTCAGATAGTGTAAAAGATACAGATAAGGAAAAGGGAGACACTGGAAAATCTTGGGATTCCTGGAGTGACAGCGAAGAAGAATATTTTGAATGCCTAAGTGATACTGAAGAACTTAAAGGAAATGGACAAGAGAGTGGCAAGAAAGGAGGACATAAGGAGATGGCAAATTTAAAGCCAGAAGGAAGGCTCTATCAGCATGGGAAGCTTACGTTGCTACACACTGGTGAACCTCTTTACATTCCAGTAACCCAGGTAGGAGGCTGGCTCTTTGAATTTTAATTTATTTTGTTATTTATATAACTTCATTCTAGTAAGAGATAGTTGGATTAGGTAGGGGAAATTGTTTAAAAAGTTTTTGTTTAGAAACTAAAGATTTAAAATCTGTATACACTTTTGGAGTTTTTAGGTTTACCATTTCTGAAATTGAGAAATATTTTGAAGTTTAAGTGTATAGTAGCTCATCATGTATAAGGTGATCTGTATTTCTTCAACTGGATGGTGGATATGCAGATGTTTAACAAACGAAATCTAAAAACATGGAGGGGAGAGAACAAGAGTAAAATTCCTTCAACAGGCTGGGTGCAGTGGCTCACTCCGTAGTAATCCTAGTACTTTGTGAGGCTGAAGTGGCTCACTCCGTAGTAATCCTAGTACTTTGTGAGGCTGATGTGGCTCACTCCGTAGTAATCCTAGTACTTTGTGAGGCTGAAGCAGGAGATGCTTGAGGCCAAGAATTGGGAACCAGTCTAGGCAATATAGCCAGACCTTATGTCTATAAAAAATAAAAATAAAATAATTAGCCAGGTATAGTGGCATGTATCTGCACTCCCAACTACTCAGGAGTTTGAGATTGCTTGTGAGCTATGATTGTGTCACTGCATGCTAGCCTACATGACAAAGTGAGACCCTGTCTCAAAAAAAAACCCTGGAAAAAACCTTTCACTTATGTAATTAGTTTGTATCTGTTCAAAAATGTTGTTTGAGGCAGTGCCTGTGGCTCAAAGGAGTAGGGCGCCAGCCCCATATACCGGAGGTTACAGGTTCAAACCCAGCCCCGGCCAAAAAAACTGCAAAAAAAAAATTTAAAAAAGCAAAATGCTGTTTGAAGCCATATTACACTGTTAAGATATAGAATAGTGGGTTAGTGGGTGGTGCCTATAGCTCAGTGGGTAGGGCGCCAGCCACATACACCGAGGCTGGCAGGTTGGAACCCGGCCCGGTCCAGCTAAACAACAATGACAACTGTAACAACAACAATAAAATAGCCAGGTGTTGTGGTGGGCGCCTGTAATCCCAGCTACTTGGGAGGCTGAGGCAAGAGAATCACTTAAGGCCCAAGAGTTTGAGGTTGCTGTGGCCTGTGATGCCACAGCACTCTACTGAGAGGGATGTAATGAAACTCTGTCTCAAAAAAAAAAAAAAACGTAGAGGCTCAGTGCCTGTAGCTCAAGCAGCTAAGGCGCCAGCCACATACACCAGAGCTGGCAGGTTCGAATCCAGCCTGGGCTTGCCAAACAACAGTGACAACTACAACCAAACAATAGCCGGGCGTTGTGGCAGTAGCCTATAGTCCCAGCTACTTGGGAGGCTGAGGCAAGAGAATCACTTAAGCCTGGGAGTTGTAGGTTGCTACGAGCTGTGATATCATTGTACTCTACCCAGAGTGACAGCTTGAGGCTCTGTCTCAAAACAAAACAAACAAACAAAAAGATATAGAACAGTAACAACCCAGCAACAGCTACAGTAGTTTTTCATGGTTTGTTTTTGCTTAAGTAATACTGGAATATATTCTGTTGTGAGATACTCAGTCTAGACAGAGTGAGTATCCACCACCCACTAATTCAACTCTCATTCCTTGAAGTAACCATTATTATTAGTTTGGGTAACATTTCTTATAATTGTTTCTATGTCTTGATATGTACATATCCATGTACATATTGATATACAGTTTTATAGATTTTTTGTTTTTAAATATATGCATTAGCGTGGAACTTTTTTTTAATTGTTACCACAATATTCCATGGCATGGAAGAGCTATAGTTTATTCAGACATTCTCCTTTTGATCACAGTGTATGTTATTTGTGAGTTTTTGCTATTAACAAACTGCTGTGATACAAATTTTTACCGTTTGTTTGTATATTGTATGTTCGTATATGAGTGTTCCTTCAAGGACCATAACAAGTGGAATTGCCAGGTGAATGGATATATAAGTTACTAAATTCCTCTTCAGAAGGAATTTGGTTTCTTGCTCCCATCAGTGGTTAATATAAGAATAAAGGAATACCCATTTTCTCGTCAACTTTACTTCTTCGTGTTCACAGACATTTGCATGCCAGTCACTATTCTCAACCTCGGGAATTTAGTAGCAAACTAGACAGTAAGATTCTTGCACTAATGGTGCTTACATCCTGTCAATTCTTATAAATAACTGATATTACCAATCATACAATTTTTTTCCAAAATTATAGTCAAAAGTAGTATCTAGAGTTTTAAATTATATTTCCAGGATTTTTAATGAGCATACAAATCTTTTTTTTTTTTTTGAGACAGAGTCTGTCACCCTTGGTAGAGTGCCATGGTGTCACAGCTCACAACAACCTCAAACTTCTGGGCTTAAGCAGTTCTCTTGCCTCAGCCTCCCAAGTAGCTGGAACCTCAGGTACCCACCACAACATCCAGCTATTTTTTTGTTGCAGTTGTCATTGTTGTTTAGCTGGCCCAGGCCAGATTTGAACCCGGCAGACTGGGTGTATGTGGCCGGCACGCCCTAGCCACTGAGCTATGGGCACAGTCACATCTTTTATGATATTTCTTTTAGGTTGCTGTTCTATTCTTACTAGTTCATGTAAATTCTTCATATGATAAAGGTGCTGTGAACCTTCTTGTGTCTCTGGTAATATAGGAACTCATTTTCTTTTGGGTAAATTCCCAACAATTGTTTGGCTGTATAGTAGAAATGTTTCAGTTTTAGGCTCAGTGCCTGTAGCTCAGTGGCCACATGCACCAGGGCTAGTGGGTTCGAACCTGGCCCAGGACCTGCCAAACAACAATGACAACTATACCAAAAAAATTGCTGGGTGTTGTGGCAGTTGCCTGTAGACCCAGCTATTTGGGAGGCTGAGTCAAGAGAATCTCTTAAGCCCAAGAGTTTGAGTTTGCTGTGAGTTGTGACACCATGACTTTCTACCGAGGGCGCCATAGTGAGACTCTGTCTTTATTTTAAAAAAAAAAAGGAATGTTTTAATTTTAGTAGATATTTCTTCAATAGTCTTCAAAAGTGATGGAACTAATTGACCTTCCCACCATCAATGTATAGTGGTATAGTTATTCTATTTGATCCCTACCCCACTGAATGTGTTGAGTGTCCCTAGGAGCACTGCTAGCCTTAGGGATTTGATAAGCAGACTCAAACGACTTAGCATGTTATCACACTCATGACTATAATATATTACAGAAAAACCAGCAAAGGGAAAAAGTACATGAGACATAGTTTGGAGAAAATGAAGCTTGAGCTTCCAAGGATCTTCTCTCAGTATAGTCACACAGGGTGCACTTTAATTCCTTCACCAACAAATTGTGACCACACATGTTAATTGTTGTATACTAGGGAAGCTTGTTTAGAAGTATAGCACCCTATGTTTTTATTGGGGGATGAGCATAAACTAAAAAGTTACCCATTGGGCAGCACCCGTAGCTCAGTCGGCAGGGTGCTGGCCACATACATCAAGGTGGCAGATTCACACCCAGCTCAGACCTGCTAAAAAACTATGACAGCTGCAACCAAAAAATAGCCAGATGTTGTGGCAGGCACCTGTATTCTCAGCTATTGGGAGGCTGAGGCAAGAGAATTGCTTAAGCCCAAGAGTATGAGGTTGCTACGAGCTGTGATGCTACGGCACTCTACCCAGGGTGACAGCTTGAGACTATCTCAAAAAAGAAAAAAAAACTTACCCATTGTCTAGTTCCATAATTCTAGATTTCAAGAAAGAAAGCAGGTGTTCAGCATAGACCACATTGTTTGCAAAAACCATTTGAAACACTGTTGGCTTTTTTTTTTTTTTTTTATCAGTTCTAGAAATGGTGAGGATCCTCCCAAGGCTAACTTTGCAAATAGGCCTTTTTAGGGATGCCCGTCTTGGGCTTACTATGTTAACTCTTTTTTGCACACTTGGCATCATTAGTCATTTTGATTTTTGTTTTTCTTTCTTTCTTTCTTTCTTTTCTTTTTTTTTTTTTTTAGACAAAGTCTCACTTTGTTGCCACAGGCTAGAGTGCTGTAGTATTAGCCTAGCTCCTGGCAACCTCAAACTCCTGGAGTCAACCAATCCTCCTATCTCAGCTTCCCAAATAGGTAGGACTACATGTACTCTCTATAATGCCTGGCTATGTTTACTATTTTTAGTAGCGATGGGAGTCTCACTCTTGCTCAGTCTGGTCTCAAACTGCTGAACTTAAGTGATCCTCTTGGCTCAGCTCCCAAAGTGCTGGGATTATAGGTGTAAGCCACCACACCCAACCTAATTTTTGTTTTTCTGAAGGGTAATCTTGTGTTTTTACATTTTACTGATCCATGTTAATATTGAACAGATTTTCATGTATTTATTGCCCATTATCTTCCTGGTAAAGAAGAATTTTCATACATAAACACAAATATATTTAAAATCTTACTGGGATTATAATTAATGTTGCACTCAATTTTATAGATCAATTTATGGAGAATCAACATCTTAATAATATTGAATTTATGAAATATCTTCTATTTTACTTGAAGTTTCTCTCTTAATTTATCTCACTGGTGTTTTAGTTTTCAAAGTAAAAGTCTTGCATATCTTTCATTAGATGTATTTCAAGGTATTTATAATTTCTCAAATTTTATTTTAAGAGGCATTTTAAAATTTGATTTTCTGATATTACCCTTGATACATAGAAACAGTTGATTTTTTTTTTTGAGACAGAGTCTGTCACCCTTGGTAGAGAGCCATGGCGTCACAACTCACAGCAACCTCAAACTCTTGGGCTTAAGCTATTCTCTTGCCTCAGCCTCCCAAGTAATTGGAACTATAGGCTCCCCACCACAACGCCCAGCTATTTTTTTCTTTTTTGTTACAGTTGACATTGTTTAACTGGCCTGGGCTCGGTTCCAGCCTGCCAGCCTCGGTGCTTGTGGCCAGTGCCATAACCACTGTGTTATGGGTGCTGAGCCAACAGTTGGTTTTTGTACATTGACCTTGGACTTAATAGTCTTGCTACA